CGAAAGAAGATTTATTAGATATTAATTGAATTATAAATATATCAATTCATGTGAATATGAGTGAAAATTTTCATTTTTTTTAAAAGGTGGTGTCTATTTACTTGTGACCACGCTTTGTACTGCATTTCCATTAAGCGTAACATCAAGTGACACTATATGATCATAGAAAATTATCATTGTCTAAAGAAAACTTGAACTTCGATAGTGGATGTAAGATAGCAAAGCAGATACATCCTTTAAAAACTTGTGATAAGTCTAAATTTTTCTGATCAACCTCAACCGTACGAAGAAATCCAAGTATATGAAGCCATCACTTGTATCAGAGAGGCAATCAAATGGCTACTATTATTTTGTAGATGCGTGGCAATAAATTATTTATAAATATAAATATATGGTTAACCGCATATACGAGAAATATATCAAAATTTAAGAATAGGTTAAACAATCGCCAAGTTTTTCTTTTATATGTTTGAAGAGGATGACGTTTCGAGCTAGTGCTCTTTGTCAGATTGTACATCTTACAATAAAAGGCAGATGCGCAGAATTTAAAAATTACGTGCGTAGCATTTTGAATGTTCAGCGTGAAATTTCTCTGTAAAATTACATCTGATATAAAAATATTACAAGACAAGAAAACATAAAAGAGATTAAAATTAAAATTGAAACAAAATATGGAAAAAATGCGAATCTATAGGAAAGAAAAGCGTTCATTTAAACCAGATGGTTGTATGGTTTCCAGATTGTAGATTAATATCCTTTCGAGTCGTTCTCTTTTGTGAATGTCTGTTGGAGCACTAATAAATCCCAGAATCGAAATGTCTTCAACAGTATGGTTGTTGATGGTGAAATGTTTGCCTATAGGTGTATCCTGATGTCTTCAACAGTATGGTTGTTGATGGTGAAATGTTTGCCTATAGGTGTATCCTGATGTCTTCAACAGTATGGTTGTTGATGGTGAAATGTTTGCCTATAGGTGTATCCTGATTATCCAGTTTAATATGGTTTAAATGTTCTCGTGTTCGATCGCAGAGTCGGTGGCATATTTGTCCACTTTTTTCCCATATTTTATTTCAATTTTAATTTCAATCTGTTTTATGTTTTCTTGACTTGTAATATTTTTATATCAGATGTAATTTTACAGAGAAATTTCACGCTCAACGTTCAAAACGCTACGCATGCAATTTTCAATTCTGCGCATGTGCTTTTTTGTTGTAAGCTGTATGATCTGTCGAAGAGCGCTAGCTCGAATGGTTATCCTCTTCAGTGTGTTTAATATTACTGGGAGATTGTGATGTATGTGTAATATTATTATGTAGTTGTGAAGCATATTCAATATTGTTGTGTGTTTGCGAAGTGTTTAAGTAGTAGTTTCGCGTGACCTTCAGAAAGTAAACATAGCTCAAGAACAATTTATAAAACCCAAAATAAATGGGAGCAATCCAGCAATACTCAGAAAAATTCAAATTACTTCTGTGCTGAAAGAGTCCTTATAATAAATATTCGAGTATGTATTTACATGTATAAATTGAAAAACAGTAGATATATCATGGTTTATTTGAAGACATAAACATACAATAATTTAGTTTACATATTTTACAGAGTCAGAGTAATAACAAAAACAGAAACTGAAGTAGCATACAATTTGTTTGTAAGGTAAAACTGGAGAAGAAGAGTGTAGTCTTAATAAAAAGCAATAAAATGAACTGTACCAGAAAACAAAGAAATAGGCTTAAGCCTAAAAAATAATAATCGAAAAGGAATCCATTTTGTATCTGTATAACTACATGAAATTATATCACTAAAAGTATTACATCAAAAATTACATTATCATTTTTTTATTAAAATACATAAAGAACTTCTCTGACATAAATGAGAAAGTTGATCTGCCAAAATGACGGCCTTTAAAAAATTATGTAGTTTTAACGTTAACATATATACCTGGTAGTGTGAACGTGAGTTCGGTTCTAATGTTTTTCCTAGTGCAAGAGTATTTTCGAAGTTTGTTACTATTTAGTCTTAATATATCTAATAAAGAATAATGTAATAAACAGTTTTTTTGTATGCGTTTTTGTAAATTAATATTAAGTTGCATCAAATATTTCCTATTTTGGTATATCAGTTAATCATATAGAACCTGCTTACCTAGAAATCTCGAAAACGTACATGCTAAGACAGTCACTTTCCAAACAAATTCTGGTTAAGTTACAGCACACGTAAATAAGAAAAGCAGATCAAGCACAAATAGCATCGGCTGGACTGAACTTTCAGTAAAATAAAACAATAGTATTTCTATACTCAACCATTTATAAACATCTCTTTCACTTCTTGCAAAGTACCAAGTGTTTTCACTCGGAGAATACAGCGTATAAAATGTCACTCTCTTGGTGGCACTTTATACATTGGCTTGGGATGAGTATACATGAGCAATTTACAACGGTTTTACGGAAACCGTCTAACATACGAGCTTAAGAAGTGTCGTGTATTTTATCATCTGCTGTTTATAATGGATAGCAGAAGCCATATTTTCTTTCAGAGAATGGTGTCAAATGTTAACAGAGAATTTTCTAGATTAAAAAAGTAACAGGCCAAAGGTAATTTTAATACCTCAGAGGAAATTATTAGATATTATAAAAGGAAAACTAATTTATTAGTAGGAGTAATTATTAGATGTTTATAAAAGGAAGACAAATTTACTCTAGGAGTAATTATTAGATATTTATAAAAATAAAACTAATTTATTAGTAGGAGCAATTATTATATGTTTGTAAAAGGAAACTAACTTATTAGTAGGATTAATTATTAGATGTTTATAAAAGTAAAACTAATTTATTAGTAGGAGCAATTATTATATGTTTGTAAAAGGAAACTAACTTATTAGTAGGATTAATTATTATATGTTTGTAAAAGTAAAACTAATTTATTAGTAGGAGCAATTATTATATGTTTGTAAAAAGAAAACTAATTTATTAGTACAAGTAATTATTAGATGTTTGTAAAAGGAAAACCAATTTATTGTAGGAGTAATTATTAGGTATTTGTAAAAGGAAAACTAATTTATCAGTAGGAACAATTATTGAATGTTTATAGAAAGAAAATTAATTATTTAGTAGAAGTAATTATTAGATATTTATAAAAGGAAAACTAATTTAATAATAGGAGTAATTATTTCCATCATACATATCAGTAGGTAAATAATATTGGGATAAAAAAACAACAAACTCATTTCGCTTTTCGTAAAACATCTGAATTTGAAGTGCTATCTGATCGAGGTAATATAAAATAATTTTTATATATAAATCCAGTAGTAGTTTTTTTTGCCACATCAGTTATTCTAAAATGCACTTTGATTTTTTTTTATAACGATAAATTACTGCTACAAAAGCTAGTTAACGAAACTCATAACAATCAATGCTCAGTATTCGGTTAGTAACGATAGAGTTGTTGTTGTTTTTTTTGTTATCTTTGGGGGATAAAATATAATTTTTTTTTTAAATTCTTCTATACAACTTGTCATTATTTTTTAAGGAATTCTATAAATTTCCTCTCATAAAGTGTATCCGTGGAATTGGGCAACAAATGGTTGACATAAATAGGAATGAAACACTTGATGAGACAAAAATACATTGCGTATCATACTAATATAATTACATATCTGAAATTAATTTTTAAGGTAAATTTGCTTTGAAAAACTATAAGAATTTTAACCACAGGGTTGAAGACTACTTATTCTTGTGTATGTGTTCGTAATTACACACGATATAAAGTCTTATAGTTAAAAGGGAATGAAGGAGATGTCATTATTTTAACTAATACGTTGTTCTATCGTGTACATAATTTTGAATCTAAAGTTATATTGTCAGAACTGCTTACGTGTCTAGAATGGACCTTTCCTTTACACTGACGATGTTTTTTATACAACATTATATTTTTGAAATTAAATATATGTTATTCTAATAACGTAAATCACACAAAGAAATTTATTTAACCTGAAGCTTCTTTTCACAAGGCTAATTAAAACTCTGTGAGATTTTCTTTCGAAATTGATCTTGGGAAGAAATTTCATTTGAGATTTAATATTACAAGGTCTGAGTTTTAAAGAAACTCATTCAATTTCAAATTAATACTTTTCATTTTAGATAAATTATTAAAACTGCGATAACTTACAACATAAAATTCTAAGCAATAAGTTTTCCTAATACTTTAATCATCTTTTTATCATAGGAATAATTTAAGGAAATCCAACTGTACATCATTATATTGCATGAACTAGGAAAACAACAGTACGATAACTCACCTCATATTATCATTGTGACAATTTTATTCGTGAACAATGGTAATACATCACGTGAATGACTGCTGGATAAAATGTTACCCTCTTAGTATGCTGGAATATAGAAGTTGAAATTCAAACTTGTCTTGAAAAATGTGTTACCGCAAAGTACACCTTCCTGTCGAACATTTCGTCCACTACCGTAAATCAATACGTAATTTGGCGTAAACGAAGAAAATAGCTGTTATGTTTTCATAAATATCAGAGGCTGATTGAATATTTTACTGTGGAAAGTTCAAGGAAAGTGAAACACCATATACATATAGGGGGAGCAAATTGTTATCTTGGAGTCTCAAATGGAAGATAAATTACAAATGCATAGCCATTCTTTGGGCCAAAATTCTGTTCAGGATTCTCTTCCTTCTAACAGCGCAAGGGAGCGCTGCTTGATATGGGTGCGTCAGCTGCGTTCGCACTACACTTCGTGGTGATATCTGATAAAAATTAACTTCAAACATTAAAAAAATAACCAAAATATAAATTAGCATTATTCAACACAAATCATTAGTATGCTTCATATTATGCCAGAAGAAAGTAAGATACGTAACTTCGGAGAAAACTTAAATCACATTGTTTCTCTTTACAGCTGTCTTACAGATAACATTATTGTGTAGGCTTAACAACAGCAAATGCTATTAATATTTATATGAAATAGGATACAAAAACATATTTAACATTTTACACGAATATTTATACAAAATGGATGATTTATTCTTTTGTAATATTACACAAGGTAAATTATCACTTCTTTCATTTAAACTTGTTAGAAAAATAATCCCATTTAAATGAAAGAAATACTGCTAGGAAATAAACAAACCACCTGTTCATTATTCATTCTATGCACTTAAGAAATCATCCAGCTTAATAAAACTTTACCAGTGTTACTGAGAAGAGTATACATGACATAAACAGTCCTTCAGATTTGAAAATTATCATTTTATACAAATGTTAAGGGTATGGTTACTTCTGGTTGAATGTATCTGCTAATACCCTGGGGTTTGACAAACACTGTGTAAACTAGCCTTTTTTTTGTAATTTGTCTCCTGATGCGTGTGGAATTTTTATTGGGGACTTCAGCGTTATTCCTGTATGGTTAGACATAATTAATGGTAGTCGTATTTTGGTGAGGCAATTTGAAAGGCCCAAGCTGTCTTAAAAGAATATTTAAAAAAAGCTCAGGGCGATAAGGGCTATTATCTAAATATCTAGTGGGCTAGAAAATAAAATAATGAAATAGACTGTCGGCTAACAGTGGCTTGACAAAAAAAAAAGGTTTTGATAGATTGTTTCATATCATTGCTGGAAGGATAAGGTTTAGGATAATTTATTCTATGAACAGTTCAGGCTAGATTTATAACTGAATAAATGTCTAGATCTGAAATTCTTCTTCCATTACTATCATATGTAAGTTAAGTAGAAACCTTAAAATTAACCATTTACTCGCAAAATCGATTTTAAAACAGAATCCGAATACATATACCATACTACAGTTTGAACGATAAATGATCAATTTTATCACAAGCGCTATGTGTTCACAAAAGCCTTTAGACTGAATAAAATGACAATGACAGCGTCAGACATTTTAGAAAATATTAAGTTAAATTTAATCTATTGTGAAGGTTTTCAAGTACTTATGTTTACACATCATAATTAGTTCTACACAACACATCTCTCATGAAATTTACAATTTGTCACATTGATGCTTACTATACTATAGGTTCCATGCATGTCTTATATAACATACATCTGGAAGGACTAACGGGCGCATTATTTTTATTTACAAAAATAAAAATATTTGGATATTAGTGAACAAAGGTTTGCATCATTTCCCTGTTTGTGTACCTCATCAATTTACGTGTAAATTCAGATCATGTGATAAATGTACATATATATATATATTAGCAACAAATACATCTGTGTTTTACATCACAAAGGTTGTCGGATTCACAAGAGTTATTAGTTAATTTAGTGATCTAGTACTTAATGATTATTTAATTTTCATAACAAGAGCGTTAAAAGTAATTATTTTAAAGGCGATAGTTACGACAAATTTCATTACGTAACTCAGTAAGAGTTGTATCTTTCTCGTTGCCTTAAGTGAGTATTGTTTGTTTACATCGTAGCGTCTCGTAGTTTATAGAAAGTTCTAGGCCTCAGTTGGATAACGTACATATATATATATAGGCGATCCAAGTGAGCGCAGGTTAAGTTACAAAATGTTAAGTCAGAAAACGTTAAGTTAACTAACTACGTGATTGTTAATTTAGCAATATTTAAAATGAGTTTCACAGTGGTATTGTAATAATAGAGATATAGGAGAATAATTTGTCTCGTCAAAGGGTGTTCTAAAATAATTGAACCCACCCGTGTGGACTTTGTGGAAAAGAAGACAATTATTTGAAGTTCTGGATACAACTGTGGTAACCCACGGGGTAACGTAAGTGAATTTATCACTAATATATTGTGTTAAAAGAGGAGATAAGAAATAATTCGTCTCGTCAAAGGGTGTTCTAAAATAACTGAACCCGCCCGTGTGGACTTTGTGGAAAAGAAGACAATTATTTGAAGTTCTGGATACAACTGTGGTAACCCACGGGGTAACGTAAGTGAATTTATCACTAATATATTGTGTTAAAAGAGGAGATAAGAAATAATTCGTCTTGTCAATTGGGTTCTAAAATAACTGAACCAGCCTAAGTGGACTTTTGACAAGAAAAGAGAATTATTTAGAATTTTATATACAACTGTGATATTCCTTAGTGTAAAGAATTTTTGCAGATAGGTTTGACTTGTTTTGAATATATTAGTTTAAAACAAGCGGATTGTGTGCTGTCCGTTGATTGTTTGAATGTATCGCCAACAAGTCACAGACACCTGCTGTAAAAGATTTGGTTGTTTGTATGAAGTTAAGCACAAAGCTACACAATTGGCTATCTGTGCTCTGTCCACCACAGGTATCGAAACCCGTATTATATACTGTAAAAGAATCCCAGCCCACATATAAAAAAACTGACAAAGGTATTTTTTAACATAAAGGACTTCTCTTAATAAACTAGTATTTTATATTCATAACTAATCAGTATTTCTGCAGCTTTGTTTTGAGCATAGTTTCATGAGCCAATTCCACTGGAAAATTATTAGTCTCATATTTCGAAGATTATTCTTTTATGTGCATTTGTTTGATTGCGCTTATTATGTTGGGAATTATTTGCGTTCTCAGAAATAAATCATTCATTAAATTAACACTAAAATATATTATTTTTCATGACGTCTCCACTTCGAGATCAAACTTGTCGCTTATTGTTTAATTGACTGTTTTGTAACTCAACTGCAGGGGAAGCTTTTGTTCAGGACAGTGATGTGACGGGCTAGCGTGACAACTGACCCATTCTTATCATATAACCAAGACTAAACCTGCGTTTGTTTTTAAACACGTTTTTGGGCCTTTTTAGAAAGGACTATATTGACAGTCACGTTTTCTCGCTTGTTTTTTTTTCTAGTTGTTACGTTAAAGTAGACCATGGAAAGCGATAACAGCGTTTTACAATTAATTTATATTTAGATTATGCCTGATAAGTATCATGAAACTCAGACCAGGTGCTAAGCGTTTCCTGCTAGTGAAAAGTGTTACGATAAAAAAGGTAAAAATCTCCATTTTCACTATATTCAAAATTGTTTCTGAATAAAACATTTTTACAGGTTGTTAATGAAGTACAAACATTTATACTCTCTTCACCACGATTATAATCTTACTGGTTTATTAGCATCTGCAAAATAACTGTGTACAGTACAGCTGTGATAAACAGAAACATCGAGAGTCAACTTACTGGTTCATGACTCGGCTACCAGATGGAACATAACTTAAACTTGGCGTGTATTACTATGGTATAAGAAAACATAATATCAATAGTTTGTTATTAGACCATAGTACAAACTGTTTGATATATGTATTTCAATTACTCATTGTTTGTTATAAACGTCCACGTCGTTTAAAGTTTCCATAGCATCTGTCTTGGCAAGCCTGATATCTCATTTGTTGGATATTTTGAATAATAAAAGTCTTCTTTCTATTGATGTTTATCATTACACAGTACTCGCAGTACTATATACACAATCGTGCTTCCTAAATAGCGGTTCTCATTCCATGGACCGCAGGTTCCTTTTAGTTGATTGGGGAAATTTTACTATTACAGAATAATAGCGGCAGCGTAGTATATAGGTAAAATTGTGGTCAACAACGTAAAAAAGTTCAAGTGGTTCTCGAACAAAACAGATAAAGACGACATCAAGTGTTATTATTTACCACATCTTAACTGCAATCGTTTCTGAAAAATAGAATTATAAATTATTTGTTCACAAACACCCTTATTGTTCAAATTATGACGGTTTATCGTATAATCTCGCAATACGTTATATTAAAACGACTTTGAATACGCAAATCAGCAGTCCACGTGACAACCACGGCGATATAAAGACGCAGTGGAACGGAATGTATCAGAACTAAATTTTGTTTGTCATGTTCGTAATTAATGTGAGGCCACCGAAAATTGATCTCTTTTAAGAATGCCTTTCCGACGCAATATAATCATACACTAAAGTCGTAAGGATGGCTTCAGTTCGGAAGTTTAGAATTTTCAAGGCAGGAATACCTCTTGTGCTTAAAGACATTGAAAACTAAAGAAATATGGATCAATTTGAGGCACCATGACTATCCATAAAAATACCTGCAACAAGACATGTCACAGCCGTGGAAAGCAAAATGCAGCGTCTTATAACAGGCGAGGGTTCACAAACACAGAGATCTGTGACAAAATGCGTTCACGTCACATAACAAAATCAAAAAGATATTCGTCTGGAAATGAGGCCGATAGGATAGGGACTACCAAGATAAATTTTTCAGTCATACTTCCAGTTCAAACCTACACACCTCAAGCAACTGGAGGATGAAATAGGTATTCTTGCTTTTTCATATAAATACCTATGTATTTCTATGTGTTTTAACTATTGAAACAAGCGCTGGCAAACCGTCGTCCTTATACACTAGATAGATTATGGAAAGCCCACAAGGAGAAGTAGTGTGCTTTGGACATGACAGTCTTACGATGGAGCCTTTTGCAACAGAAACTATGCTGTAGAGCCGTTGTTAAGATGCGCCGCCGTCAGATAGAGTATGACGTGACGCCATGGTTTGTAACAAACTGGTGAGGCTCCAAAATCATTTAAAATGTAATGTACTCAGCTCTGTGTATTCTGATATAAAACTTGATTTATATTGTCTTTTTTTTTTCTTGGTGCTTCTTATTTTCAACAAGAGGAGAGTGGTATAATTTTCTTGTCTTTGATTATCAAAGAAGAGCTACGATTTTATTGTTTTTA